CTTCACTGCATATAGAGATCTAGTTCCAGAGTCTTCATCTCCATCCAGTCATTCAAATTATTATACATCAGTTCCATATCAATTCCCTACCACTATTCAATTACAAGGCTTAGAAGCTATATCAGATGCTCTGGTAGAACAAATTAGGTGGAACAACTCTATAGTAATTGAGGAACTCAATATTCTCTTTGACCCTGATGACAAAAAGACTCAGGACTTTATTAATAACTGGCATCTAAAGACCACACAAATTGCTCTGAATATCATTATCAAGACTTATCAAATTAAAAAGAAAGCTTTTGGTAATAAATTCTACTGACATTGTGTGCACAACAATATTGACCCAGTGTCAGTTCAGCCTTCTTCTTCTCCTAAGAACTTGGTGGAAGAAGAGAATTATGATAATTACTATTAGAGATTGCTGCTATCACTCTTCTTATTCTTATTTCCTATATTTTTTCTTACCAGACTGCTCATTACTATTTATTATTCTCTTATTTTACTAAATTGGTTTTGTTTTATTTTATATGTTGTTTGTTGTCAGGGGACACCAACATTGAAGGCCAGGAGAAAATGTAGTGGGGATTTCAGTATCTTATTAGGATAAAGATTGTTTCAGTCTGAGGCACAAACCATTCCAAAGCTACTATTCTTGAGCTATATAAACCATCTGTAGCCCCTGCATCTTGCTTATTATCTTCATGCACCATTGCTCTTTTCTATACACTCATTTCTTACTACCAGTTCAGCTATTAGTTAGAGAATATGAAGATTTCTTGTTCATGAAATGTGCTACTGTTTCTTATTAGAGCTGCCTGTGTTAGTACAGGGCTCTTTAGTACTATTACTCCTTGCAAGCTTAGGCATCTGTTAGAACATATCTATCTCTACACTTACTACTCAACCATACCCTTACTATATGGTGATTTTTCACCTTTCTTGTGCTCTCACCATATCAACCAACTCGCCTACTTTGACAAGGCATCCCATCGTACCCTGCTCCAATATCTTGAAGTATCTTGTCTTTATTAAAGCTTTACAAGCTGATAAAAGTGTTGCAACTCAGAATGAAAGCCAGAAATTTCTCTTACTACTTTGTTCAGTCTCTACAGATGGGATTGCATTATCTCCAGCTCTTATTTATCAGAGTGAATCCAGAGATCTTCAGAATATATAACTGGATAATTTTAATAAAAGTGAATATATTTACTTTACAGCCTTAGTGAATAGCTGAAGCAATAATAAATATAATCTAGAGTGATTGCAACAGATTTTTAATCTGTATACAAAGATAAAAGCAGATAGAGCAAGATATCTGCTTTTATTAGATAAGCATTCTTCTTATATAAATATGAAATTTATTAAATATGTAAACTGTGAAAGAATCTTACTGTTGATTTTTCCACTGCACTCTATTCACTGTTTGCAGTCTCTTGATATTAGTGTTTTTGGGCTGCTGGGCAAGATATATTCCAGTAAGCTGGAATCTCTACTATACTGTAGACTAAACTATATTTGAATAACAAAAAGAGATTTCTGAAGATTATTCAATACAGCATAGAAGAAGACTTTAACAGATAATAATATATATGCTGACTTTGTAAAGACTGGCATTTATCTTCTGAATCTCCAGCATTAACTAAGTTAATTTAAAACTGCTGATTAACAAGACCCTGTATTACTAGTTAAGTTTTCCATTCTTATAAATATACAGAAGCTTTATCAAGAGATTAAGAATATTTATCTTCAGCACAGCTTAAATTTGCAGAGTATTAAATAAGTTATTAAAGCTAGTAAGTAATTTGCAATACAAAATAAACTGCTAGAGTATAAAAATTAAGCTTTAAAATTAACTATTGTGATGGAGAAACAGCACTGCAAGTAAGACAAGTCTCTAGATTTACTTAATTATAATAATCTGAGCCAGATCTAGTTCTGAAGTTCTACAAAAATTCTGCAGACTCAGGAACACCAGAATAAAATAAAGACTGAGAAAGCTTATAAAATTACTTAAACACAAAAGATAAAGCTTCAATAGAAGCTTCAAAGAGAGCAGACAGCTAGAGAGACTGAAGAAAAACAAATTAAATAAGAGACTGTCTGTATAAAAACTCACAAATAATAAGAGACTGAAAAGCTTGAACATACTATATAATAAGAGACTCAGTATATTATCTGTAAGAAGAAAAAGACTTTACAACAAGCAGAGAAGAAGAGACAGACTGTTGAATATACTAGTAAATATCAGCAGTTAGAGCTTCAAGTGCCAGCTTTAAAGCACTGTCAGCAGAATCTCTTTATGAAAGAATCTTGTTGCAGCAAGTCTATATAATCTTTCCAAAGCAGTAGTAAGAGCTTTACTAGTCTCTCTAACAAGTCTTTAGACTCTCTAGCTGAGAAATCTACTGCTGACATTCCTTTACAATCTTTTCTATTTACTCTCTGTATCTCTCACTCTGGCCACAATATCAGGCCATCTACACATTTATTTTCATAGCCACACTAATTTCTATGCTTTAAAGAACACACTCATTTAATATTTAATAGCTAGTTTAATAATAATAATTCATTGTTGAGATAATTAATAAATTTGTAGCGTGGAGCATTGGAAGGAATTTGGCTTATTGAGTGGTTTGGCTTGTTGAGTGGTGAGCCACCTTACTAACTAGTGAGCTCGGCGACCACTTTCAAATGTCTCTTTAACCATCGTTCTCGCAACGTCGGCGACAAAAAGTTCTATCATTCGGCATAGATCCTCAATTCGGCTGTTCTTTTACATCACTAGTTGTTTTCTCAACAGTCTCTGGTGCGCTTGTGCCTGTTTTTGTTGTTCTGCCTGCTTTCCTGGCCCGTCATTGGAGGTTTTGTGTCGCTATTCGAATCCCAGAACAGTTTTCGGGGCGTCCTTTTGAAAGAGGATAGCATGATGTCTGTCTTCTGGTACATATGACTGCAAATATATGTACAGTTGTCTCTTCTCCTATGGGAATCTCTGTTGAAGCATGATTTCTCGTCTCTGGCCCGCCAGGGTATTTCTACATTGTAATGATTTTTCTCATTCTGACTTTCTATTCGGCTGCCTTTTTTCTGAAGCGCACCCCTTTGAACAGGATGCTCACGTCTGGAGAATCCCAAGGCGTGACTACAGGAGTATGGAGAAGGGAGCAGGAGTTCTCCTTTAAGGCCAATTCACCGTTGATTCCGACTCCAAGTCAACATGCTTAAGATGCCTTTGAGGCATGCATAAGAAAATAAACACAAACGATATTCATGCATTGTGATAAACAAATTGCGCCAAACCCCCACCAAAAAAAAGAAAGAAGCAGGAAATAAAAGCACAACACAGTATCCTCCAGGACCTGGCCGCCCACCCGCCCGTCCTCCGAAACACCAACCCCCAACCGCCCAACGCCTGCTTTTATAAGTTAGTTCAGAACCAGGACTTGGTTTAAGTTGATTCACATACCACGCCTAATTCTGAAGTTTGGCGTAAAACGCCCTTCGGCGGGCCTCTAAATCCACCTCCACCTCCGTTTTGAAATCCGGAGCCAATGCTGCCGAGGCCAGCTCAAGCAGCAGGCAAACCGCCCGCTCGTCCTCTTCTCTGAGGACCGTTAAAAAAACTGGTCTTTCGACCACCTCTGTATAGAAGGAAGGGGACTGTTAGGTTTCGTTTTTCTGATTTAAGAAAAAAGATGGCGTTATCTAGTTGATATGTGAGACACACACACCTTCTTTCTGCTTCCCCTTTCCTTTGCCACTTGCCGCCCGCGGCTTTCGTGGCTTCGGGGTTGTCTTTCGCTTCGCCAGCTCCCTTTTCTCGGTCACCTGGCTATGGGGAGCCGAGGTGTAACCGGCCTCCCTGGCCCGCTGGGAGGGCTTTCTTACTCGAGTCAAGGCTCGGACCATTTTTATTTATTTATTTCTAAAAAGAGAAAGGAGGATGAGAAGAGAGTCTGAGGCTTTTTGAAGTGAGCATGAATTGCGAGGGGGTCAAGGCTCGAAGCAAAAAGAGAAAGAAACGAGAGAAGGGAGAGCGCTAAAGCTTGATATAGCCCTCGAGGGCAGTAGCACACTGCTTAATAGGCCATTCTGATGGTATTTATTCATTCAGCTGCCAATTCAGCATATATGAATGATGCTTATCTTATTGTGTTAGTGAATATGTTGGTATTAGGCTATAAGGAAGTTCAATGGGATATTCCGCTCAATATTGGCTTTTGACGGATACTATGTGAATTTGAAGCTCTTTTGGCCTATTTGGCTATCAATGGAATGGTAATTCTTTTCAGTCATTGTTGAGTGGGTGATTTATTTGATAGCCTGATCAATAGTAGCATTCCCAAATTGCAAGAATATGGGCAAAGTACAGACTCTCATCAATGTGAGTGTCAAGTGAAGCTTGAGCCAAGCTCCCAAGAACCGACGAGAGACTTTAGGATTTCGTGCTAGGCTTGATTTCAAGGGCAACTTGTAGCATTATAATATTAGACTCCCAGGTCAATCTAGGGCTGTCAACGCGACCGCGCGGCTGGATTGGAGCAAGCCCTTGACAATTGCACAGAGCTAGTACTGCTCCCATTGCGCGATGCAACTGAGGTGAGATCGTTCATGTACATAGGTATTCTGGGGTCATCAATGAGTAAGAGCTAGATGAAAGATAGAATGGGCTTTGAGCGGCGCGTATGGCCCCTATTATAAGGGCCAGTGTATGGTTAGTTCACTCTTCTAGCATATCATGGCATAAAAATTGATCTCAACTTTCACTTGTCTCGGATGCGCTAACCCCGTATTGGACTAGCTTCGGGCTGGAGTACGTGTAGGTAAAGCTGGTAAACTTTGTATTTGGGTTACCGTAACTTACAGCCCAGTTACGCAAGCGCAACGCCGGAGCTCAGTATCGCCTGGGAGTGCGGCGTCGTGAAGTGCTAGCTAGGCCTGTCCATTGCGGCCACGATTTCCTGGGGGTTTGTCGGGTTGTCGTCACAACAGACTCGAGAATGCATTTTAGCACGCTAGTTCAATTCGGCCTTTTGGCCCTTTCTGCGTTTCCGCCTTCTTTGGCCGCGGCGAGCTGGGGATTTGGTGACGCCACGCTGTCAATTCAACAGAAAGGTGCTGGCGTGGGCGGAGGGCTGAAAGAGAAGTCAGACTCTCCCGCGGATTTTCTCTTGGGATCCTGTTAACGCTCTTGCGTAGATTCTCGGACAAGAAGCCACTGTCGAAGCCGGTTACGTTGGGAAAAGCTGACACGTTGAAGCTCTTCCTCACAGCCCAAGAAGGCCGCACCGCGAAGAAACCCCATCAGGCTTTCCTTCTCCTAAAAGACACCGCATCGAATCTGGATATTTCCTACCCGCTAACGATCAAAGATAGTGGAAAAGCAAGGCTGGAACTCGTTAGTATTTGGGCCATCTCCCCGATCCCTGAACTAGGCGACTAAATGGCGGTTAACCTAGACGCACAAAGACCTCCCTGTCCAGCTGCTGAAATCGGAGAACCCGCTTGATGCAAATTTGGTAATTGCTTCTTTTGGTTCTGCTCCGGGATACAACAGTCCGGTATTTCGTCTTTTGATCAAGCGAGACCCGAAAGATGCACTCCCGACTCCAAATACTCTCAGATATGGGAAGCTTGATGAGATCCATCATATCTTCAAGACGGACCCCAAGAGCCCGCCTATAGTTATTTCTGTTGCATTTATTATCGCCGTCCTCGCATCATTGCCCGTGCTGGCAGGTTTGGTAAGTGGTACCGCATGGTCCTGCTGAAAGCGCATCTACTGAACTAAGAATATAGTGGATGTACCTGGGTGTGAACCTCAATCAATTGCCAATGGCTCTAAAATCCTCGCCTATTTCCCATCCCATATTCGTGGCGTCGATATTTGGATTAGAGGCCGTGTTCTTTATGTATTATACCTGCTGGAACCTTTTCCAGACTCTCCCCGTCTTCCTGGCTGTGGGTGGAGTGGCTGTTCTCAGCGGCAGTCGTGCTCTCAGCGAGGTTCAGGAAAGGCGGTTAGCCGGCCTACGATAATAGGAGACGGTTGTGGAATGCTCTGCCTCTTTTTTTTTTTTTTTTTTTTTAATGCGGAGATCGTGTAAATTATTGGCTTTGCGTTTTCTCTTACAGTTATACCCTCGGAAATAGGCTTCAAAAGTGCTGGGGAGGGGTGTAGATTGAATTTACCATATGGATGATTTCCATACACTTGTATCTCCAGAGCACGTTCGAGCAAGATTTCAGAACGAGAGCAGAGGTGTTGTGTTCCTGTCGTCGGCTTGGTTGCAATGCCCAAATAGCTCCACTGCTATCCCGTAGTGGCTTGCGAGCTCCGGACCAATCACATCTCGCACGAATAATGAATCGCGGAATCCAAGCAATATCTCCGCCGACCATTCCGCCAGCCATTCTTGCAAGCACCGCAACGGCACACCACCCTCCTGGCCCGCGACATTCACATAACATGGGCGCGTCAGCATCAAAACCCGCTCGGGCCGCAGCCTCAGCGGCCACCAGACGACAGTATCCCATACAGCCTTCCCCATCAACAACCACCTCACATGCCCAAGAACCCACCGCCCCGAAAAGAAAAGCGGGACCAGTCTACCACTCCAAAGAACAGGCCAGCCGGACAAAAACCGAAGGTATACACAAAGATAGACACACCAGACTCCCGGACTTCACCCCTACCCACCCCCCGAAGCCCCGAAAAAATAACGAACAATCTAACACTCAACAGCAATCGACCTCGACGCCCGCGACCCACACTTCGCCGCCTCCCTCCGCTCGATAGGCCCCGTAATCCCCAACCCAACCCTCTCTCACTCCAGCACCTTCAATCGTCCGCCCGCCAGCACCACCAGCACTAGCATCAGCAGCAGCTCCTCCTCCTCCTCCTCTTCCACCTCTTCCTTTTCCGCAACCCCCTCTCCTCCCAACCCTGCCATCCAAATCCTCTCCGCCCGCTCCAACCTCGCCAAATTTGCCGAACAAGAACTCGAGTCCTTCGGCAAACAGAGCCACGCGGGCCGTCAGTTCCTCGACGTCGTCACCATAAAGCAGATTCTCGGTATGAGGGACAGGGAGGGGATCGGCCCGGACATGATCGAGAGGCATTATAGGCTAAAGGCGGGATTGGTCGGCAGATTAGGGGCGAAGGGGGTTGTGGGCGAGGTTCGATAATGATAATCTTTTTTTTTTTTTTTTTTTTAAAAAAAAAAAAAAAAGGGCACTCTAGGAGCTGCTCTGAGGAGTCATGGTTCCCAACCGCCCTTCTCTAATCTGTTGGGGATTTCTTTGCATGGGTGGAAATATTTGGGCCTTTTTGTATATTCCATGGATATGGCGATGGTGAAAGGCGCAAAGGTGATTTTGAAACCATCTCTATTTTACGCAATCATAGGCGCGATTGTATCTATGTGCTGTACGATATGGAGTCCATTTACGTCCCGATCTGCCAAAGGTGGAAAGCATACATTGAGCAGCTAACAACGTGTAATTGTCGGTGAAAAACCGTACATTGCTTCCATTTTCATGCAATTATATGCTACACATCAAACACTTTTTAAATCGATGCTCCGCCTAAGACTTGAATCCGTGTTGACCATGAAACTCTGTGAAAACCAGTGTATTCCAATCGCAATGCCATAAGCAAGAGGCTTTTCAAAAGTTATCCAAAATCCATTATAAAAAGGTACAATTTAAAAGAACATATAAGCCAGGTTTCATACTGCGTAAGAGTGAGATGTCAATTTGAGAACAGATACAAATGAAACCACCAAATTCACGGCGCTAAGATCATTAAAAGGTCAATAGTCTCAGATGTAAAACATCGAGTTTTCGAGGTTTGGGTGGATTCTCAGCTCATCCTCACTCGGACCCTGTCCAGTTTGTCCAGAAACAACGGTTTCCGATGGACTTGCGTCAAAATAGCTGCTGAGATAACGTCGCGCACGTTCGCAAGCAAGGTCAGCGTAGTATGCTGGCGGACAAACGCTGACCGCCTTCGTCGCACGGCCGAAGAGGTAACAAAGGTTATGAGTAAGATCCTCCAGGGCGTCGCTCGTCGCAGGTCCCGTTTTCCGTGCTCTAAAGATCTCATCCAAAATAACAAAGTAATGGGCCGGTTTGGCCGTCCCATGGAGAGCTGTATGGGCCTGCAAGTAGAAATCCCAATTCCGCGCCTCAGTGACTCCTCGGTCGACAATTGTTCCGTTGACTGGATTGGAGTTAGCATCAGCTTCGTTCAAAGTTACTGGGTAAAATCTCGTGTTATGGCGCTTGCCAACAACGATAATGGAAATCCGCGGAAGGTTCTTTTTTGTCCATGTTGCTGGATACAACCGTTCGCATGCTTTGCGTAATAAAGGCAGCTCTTCTTCTAGGACCCTATTATACTGCCCTTCGGATACTCCATCCCGATAAACGAGAAGATTCTCAGGTAAAGTTTTATTATTTCTCCTCTGCCAAAGTCGTAGGCGAGATTCGAGCATTTCTTGAAGTTTATCAACCATTTCTGCTTTTGGCTCTTGCTGCAGGCGGATTGACGCCGGCCATTGTGCCAAATGTTTATCAACGTTTGCAACCATGGCCGCGACACTTGGTGCTTGCGAAGACGAGCCGGGAGAAGGATGAGTGACGTCGATACCAACAAGCATAGTCTTGCCTTCCCCAACGACCCCCAATTTTGAGGAGTCAAGAACATGATTCGTGCCACCGAGCTTCAAATTGAATTTCAAGGCGACATTCGCACAATATTGAATTCCTCGGAACTTATTCGCAAGCACACAGACAGTGTGAATTCCATTTTGAATATCACCCCGATACTTCACTCGGTTGTAAATGCTCGAGTCTTCAAGAGGTAGGATGACGAGCACAAATTTAACATACGGATGCCTTTCCAAAAGTGCGTTGAAGGCACGATCAACTTTGTCAGCAAGCGTCTCAGAATTATCTTTATCGTAGAAACGCTCCCCGAACCAGACTGGTGGAAGAGGATTCGAGACCTTGAGTCCGTGATTTCCAGCGGTTTCTATAAATTCTCTGATCTTCTCCGAGATATCTTGATCGGTTGCGCCTGGAAGATATAGGTAGGTCCACTGCGATAGCGTGGAGGCCTGCGGGAACTTTACACCTGTTAAATTCCAGCTTGCTCCCTTTGCATATTTTGAACTCTCTCCATAACGAATCACAGGTCCTTCCAAAACACGGCCATCAACCGCAATCAAATGGGGGCTGATTGAGAGACCCATGTTTGTCTGCTCAAGATATTAGTACCATACGCACGATTCTAAAAGGCTGTAACATGGCAAAGACGAAATCCAAAGAGCTTACCAGCACTTGCGGAGTATTTGGAGTGACGCCAATTACCTGGGTACCCCTCCCGGTGATGGATTTCGCATTCTCGTAAGGTGGTCTTACGGCAAATTTAATCATTGCCCGCGATTGCGTTGGAGTTAACTTGGTATTCGAAGGCTGACCTTCCTCGACATAGCAAACTTCGCCCGGTAGATAGCTTGGGTTTTGCTTGCTACCAACATTGACAACAGGCATTTTTAAGTCCATCACACTGACATTGTGCACACGGCTGAAATACTCATAGACACTGATATACCCGTGGTCAGGGGCCGCCCCTGCTTTATCTTTTTCTTTGCCTTTGCCGCGTTTGCCTTTCTTACCACCTTTCCCTTCTGATTGGCTTTGGCCTTCTTTAAGAGGACCTTTGAGGTAAAAGTATACCTTGTCTGGGCCAGCTGCGAAGTGTGCAACACGCGGAGGGTGTTCGAGACCACGTCCGTCACCTGTATTCGCGAAACCAGTGATTGTCTTCACCCTTGGAATTCGTTGATTTCCTTTAACTTTCTGAAGATGTAAGAGTTGAACTCTCTTGCCTTTCAAAAAAGTTTGTAGCCTCTTATCATTCCCGCCTATAGCTGTGATAACCATTTTTAACGGACCTTCATTTAAGCAAGCAATGTGTTTCACTTGTACATTCACAAGAAGTCGAGCGGTGGCAGCACGCACACTAACGAAGTAGCCTCTCAAGGCTTCAAGGCCACCTTGAAGATTCGATTTCTCGGCGCTCGGTCCCAGTTGAAAATGGCGGTTCGCGCCAACGGTGAGAATATTTCCCTTCGTCTTCGGGGAATATCCCACGACTATGTTCAGCACTTGAAGGATTTCCTCCTTTCTATCATACCTTTCACTTAGGTTCGCAGACGACAAGTAATTGAGGATGTCCGCCACACCAATGGATCCTGTGGCAAGGACACGCACTTGATAAACATCTGGATCGGCTGGCGGCGTATCCTCATTGTCCGCGCGATATGCGACATCGAAAACCTGTGACTCAAATTGAAGCGAATCACGGCAGACGAGAGTTGCTTTGAAATCCGTTGCAATACGACCACGGAATTCCTGGAGATGATCCTCCAGTAGCAGCTGGATGATTCTTTTCACCTTTTTTCCCTTTGGTTCAGGGCACTTGCCTGGAGCCTTGATTTCAATGTTGTAGCGGTAGAAGGCCGTATTCTGCTTGGCAACCAACTGGAAGTAATTTGCCCACAGAAGAACATGTCGACCTCGGGTTCCATATCCTGGGCGAAGCGGAAATTGGCGATCCAGGGAGAGCGCCTCCAGCCCTGGCTCCCGAACTTTACTATTATACTTGTCCTCTATGGTTTTTGTGCCTAGATCAAGTGTTGGCGCAACGGGCGGGCTTTACACATGGTGAGCAGCCGTTGCGTGTTCCCATGCTGGGTAAAGTTGAAGAGATAAAACTTTGCCTACCTGAATACTTGCGGTTCAGCGTGTGGGCGACCACGACCACGGCCTCCTCTGCCACGTCCGCGGGCCTCGCCACCCCCCCGTGAGTCCCCTCGACCCCCGCCGCGACCTCCGCCCTGACCTCCACTAAAGCCACCACGGTTGCCAGGGTGGTCTCCGCCACCTCGGCCTCCACGATAGCCTCCACGACCACCCCGATAGCCACCTTTAGGCGCTGGAGAAGACATTGCGGGAATGATAGATAAGAA